TATGAGTAGTGCACCCTACATATAACTAGATATAACATTATATACAACTATATATGAAGTCATATATAGCCAGACATATTAATATGCCTAATCTTGTCCTATGTACAACCAGATATAGCACTATATCTGTATAGATATAGATTCGCAAGTCGTCATATATGCTGCAGATATTTAATCCTAAATTTAAAAATTTATTTGAATCGTTTTTATATATATTATAGATATTAAATTCAAAAATTCGTTACATAATATTATATAATTCAGTATTATAAAATAATACTGCAGGTCATGTGTGCGTACTCGGGAAAAAAAATTATATATAATTATATATAAATATATATGATTATATATAATGCAATTATATATGAATTTTGTCTCTATATGATCATATATGATTATATGTAATCATATATAATCATATATGACCGTATATAGTGAATAGATCATATGAATAAACCATATATATTGGAAAAGAACTGTTAACTTCGATAATAAAGCATTGATAAATTAAGATGTATATTTTTTTCAAAATCTATAGAATCAAAAGTGAAATGATTTATTCCATGCATATATTACAACTTGGCACTGCTTGACATGAGACAGTGCCGTGTCTCTTTTTATACCACTATCCGTCAAATTTTAAATACGAGAAACGAATCCTATATATATATATAAAGTTTCACATACATTTTGACATGATTATATATAAGTTCATATAATTTATATATAAAGTATATATACATATATATATAAGAATTAAGCATTTATCCATGTAGATTATATATGATTATATATAACCATATATAAACTTAAATTCGGATTATCCGATAGATGGCATCCGATAGGATTTATTTCTCGTATTTAAAATTTGACAAACAGTGGTATAAGAATGGTATCAAGAGACACGGCAGTATCTCACGCCAAGCAGCGCCAAGTTATATGTAAATCATTTCACTTTTGATTCTGGCTTTTGAAAAAAATATACACTTAATTTATTCCTTAATCGAAAAGTTAACAGAATTCTTTTTTAATATATATAAAATATTTATTATGTTAGATATATAATCACATATGATTATATATAAAATCGACATTAGATATAATTAGATATAAAAAATGGCCCGATATAATTTGTATATAATTACATATAACCACATACAATTATATATAACCATATATGGTTGTATAATTATATGTGGTTATATATAATTATATACAATTATATATAATTATATCGGGCCATTTTTTTTATCTAATTATATCTAATGTCGATTTTATATAATCATATGTAATTATATCTAATCATTTTTTCTCGGGTTAGTCAAATCTTACGCAATCCAACTTCGTACATATTGCATGTAGTCGTATACTAATTAAAAATAACTCCACGAAGTAATTATATAATTGAAATATTTGCACTTCACAAAAGCCGTGAATAAAAATTCGACGAAACTTTTTGGTTATTATTTGCTGTTTAACTTCAAATACCTGTATTTTAGGTATTTCTACCGAAACCAATGATGTGTCCGGAGGAGGTCTATCGGATGATGTGTTCATGTTGGAGAAGAGATGAAACATCGCGACCAACCTTCAAGGATATCTACATGTTCCTGAAGAATATAATAGCGGACTATCGACCTGGTGCATAAATAATCTTGATTAACTGTGATACGAAATGGCGCGAATCCCCTGGGATGTGAACGACGTTGTCGGAAATATTCCGAGTAGGAACGAAGCCGACGGCATGACGCCTCGCGCGAAATCAGATTCTCCAGAAAATGTACAATCGTTAGTTTTAGACATACGTGTATCGGAGGCGCATAGATCTCGTGTCTCCTTATACCTTGCGCAGAAAAACTCGACAAATGAAAAATTGCACGCTGAGCGCAAAGCTCAGTAGCGATCGGAAATGATATCCCCCGCGGACTCTATATCGCGCGTAAGTAATCTGTTTTTCAGACGAGAGCAATGGCGATAACGGACGTCTCGGAGCGAATGCCAAACGAGCACGAGGAGAGAAATGTATAATTGACGTATAAGTGTTAGGTTTGTTTTCTTCAGATAATCAAGATCGATAATTTCGCTCTTCAACTCGAGTGTATAATCGCGTCACTTTTGTCTGGACGTTTAATTAAGATTTCATTTTCTAGTCAATACGAATCTTTAATTCTCACGAAAGTGCTATCGTGTACAGTATTCTAATATTAATAACGTGTAATGTACGCTACTATGCTCAGTACTGATAAAGTCTATCCATTTGTACATACAAATTTAGGTTTTAACGCTAGGTAAATGGGAAATTTTTACGGCAGTAAGTGTCACGACGGCTGGTTTTTCTTTCCTTTCATCTCCATACTTTAAATTATTATGTTTAACTCTTCTGCAAGCCAAACGATATACGGAAATGGCGCTAATAAATTTATTTTTATTTTGAGTCTTAAATAAAATTAATGAAGTTGGCTCAAATGTAAAAAAAATATTCGTAAAAACAGAATCGCGCAATTTAAAAAGAAGTTAGGAATTCAGTCGATTAAATATTAGCGTGACATAATTTTATTAGCTTACCGTCTTACTACGCCCTAAAAATTTCGGCTTAGTCAACTTGTATATACATTCGAAGCCCATCAGTAGTAAGTACTTATTATTCCATCGTTCGTTTAAGTTAAAGCTGTACTATGTTAAGAGGTGTAGATCTCAAGTATGTTCTTTCCAAGGACGTAATGTGAACATATCTTCGACCGTTTTTATTTAAGAAACAGAAAATGATGCTAAAAACATCTGCAGCAATGAGTATCGTGCTTTGGAAGGAATTAATAAAAAGTTAAACAAAAAACGCCATATGTTTGTTGGAATTTTAAATTACGGACGCTTGAGCGCATCGATAGCAATACAAAATAAAAATGTTAATAAAGAGATAAAGAATAATGAAATAATAATATATATGTATATTTATTTTATTACTACAAAATAATCTTATTTATTTCTACAATTAAATAATATCTGCTATAATCATCTTTACTATATTTTCGATTCATATAAATAATATTTTTATATAGTTGCTGTTTTTAAATATGTTAATAAGTCGAATAATAATATGAATATAAAAATTAGTTTCACAAAAAAAATAGAAACGTTCAAACGTCCTATCTCTTACTTTACAAACTTAAAAGGACTAAATAAGTTTCCAGGTAATCTTTATCGCTATGATTGTTTGTCGATTATGTTAAAAAGAGCAAGGTTGATATCAATCTCGATGATAAAATCGAATGATAAAATCGTTTGTAGAGTGCTTGATAATGAATCAATCTTTTCAATAATAAATTGATCTGAATTGATCCATCTTATGAAAGATCTAATGAAAAAATCTATTTTATTTGATTACCTGATTTAATTAAGTTTTAATTTTTTAATTGTGAAGTTTAAATCTTTTCGGCTCTCTTACTTGTAGAAACATCTTAATTATGTATATTAATAGTTATTAGCATATTCTACCACTATCTTGAAAAAAAGTTGTTGAAAATAACGATAAACATTTTCTAATAAAAAACCTTCTTTAAAAAAGTTAATAATAATTTATTTGTAGACTTATATTTAATCTCAAGATGATCATTTTAAGTACTTTTTGTAATTAAAACAAATGTAAAATATACTAAACTCTAAAATAGATAAGACAAACGTTTATATAAAGATTATTTACTATTATTTTTTTATACTTTTGCTCTGAAATTATGTCCGTGTATTAAAAAATCTTCTGTAATCAGTAACGTAATATACAGCTGGTATATTCCTATTTTGCACACAAAAATTGATCTCTGTTTTTACAGATGCTTCTCTTTACCTGTTTATTAAATAACTAATTTATATTTTTATTTGCGATATAAAGATACGGTAAATTTGCCGATGTAATTAATTAATTATTATTTAAAATTATTATTTAGAGCAGCAGCACAGGATATGTACATTATATGCACATACTAAATATTACGCTATATATAGTACTTACTATAAATTAAATTTTATAATTTTGCACATAATACGTGCAAAAATTTCCACGAGTAAAATTCTGATATATAATCTCTGGTGTCATTTGATGATACTAGATAATGAGACCCGTAGAAGATTGATAAATGAGATTGATAAATCTGTTATGTGATGTTCCGCAAATCCGCGGATTAATATTACAAAAAATATTTGTTTAACGTGTTAAAGATATAATCAACCATCGTGATTTTAATCTTGGTATATCAAGCAAACAACATCTATAAAAAAGTAGCTTCCTTGCATTTACAATTAATATAAGAAAAAAAATTATTTATATTTATTAGATATATGTAATGGGCATTTTTAGCGTTAAATATGAGACACAAATATGAATTTATATCTAAATGGCTGCATTTTTTTCTTAAAATGTATTTAATTAAGTTGAATAATACTACGTCGTTAAATTAAAAATTCGGCAGTAAGATTAAAGAAAGAGAAAATGTAAGCTTTAGTTTAAAGTTCAATATTGCATAATTATATAGCAAATACCGTTTTGTGCACTACAACGAACTCTTTCCCCTATGACACAATTGACTTAACAAACTTTCGTTTGTTATCTCCAGTCGACTTATCAATATATTGCAAAAACGTGTTAAAGGATTGCGATGCTGGTACCACATATTTCGAATGGAGTAAATGCAATAAGCGCACGAGAAATGAATTCAAATCTCTCAAAGCCAAATATGTCATTAGACTCGTGAAAATGTCAACAAATTAATAAATGGCGATACGAGTCAGTCTCTCAAAGCCTCGTTACAGCTCCACCTATCCTAAGAATATGTGATTATCTATTGAATGACGAATTGTAGAGGCTTGAATCAGCGTTATCTGACATCACGTAATGATAAAGACAGATAACAAAACTAAATGAAGTGAGCTCGCGTTACAACGGGTCTTTCCGGCCGTGTGTGCGTGCCATTTACCCAAACGTGTATGTATGTGTGTTCGTAACACCTATCGCCTGCGTTCATATAATGGTGGCAGCCGGGAACGTGAGACCATTGAATCGCCGGCTGTCAGAATCGTACGCTACTCCGACACCTCTACTCGCCGAAAAAATGAGATCCTGCACGCTTATATTTGTCGCTCTCGCGACCGTCCTGCTCTGCATTGGTAAGTGATCATCTTTTATATAAAATAAAAAATTATAACACACTAATATATATTTTCGAAACACTAATATAAATGTGTCATAGATTTTATACACATGAGATTTAAAAAAAGGAAGATTGATTTCATACGCTCTAAATTATATTATCTGATTCCAAAACTATTATTTAATTGTAATGCTAATAAAGTTTTTTTTTTCATTATAATTCAAAACCTGTTGTTTAATATTAAAATTAAACTGTAACAAAATTAAAATGTAAAGTTTTATTACTTTAGATGGATATTTAAATTACCCAAATGTCTCGTTACTGTCCTTTATTTTTATAATTTCTTTTTGCTGTTATATTTCTTTCATTCTTAGAACATTATGTTTTTTTAATCGTATAAAATAGATAATTAACCTATTTTTTCTGATAAATACATTACGTAGAATTAATTTTTTAATGCTTGTACAGGTATTAAGATAAATCTATCGCGTGTGTTTTTCTATACCTACAACAAAAATTTTATCTAATCTAAATAGTTAATATTTAACTTTGTATATGACAGAAATACTATTTGACTGCACTAATGCAGAAAACATGTTTACTTTTACAATACCTTTTATAAAAGAAAACTACACTATTTGACTGCATCAATGCATAAAATGGTTAGATTCCGATAACTCTGGCGCCTTAATTTGACGATGGTTTCTGGCAGTACTTTTAATGCTGAACAAAAAATTATAATATAGGTCTTATAGGGCTAACTATTCTGGTTTTCGAGATATACAGTGTTAAACTGTATGTTACAGGTAAATAATGTACACAAGAACACGCATACCTTTTCCACTCGAGACAAAAACGTAAACGACGTAAGATATTTTGAGGTCTACCCTCTCTCCTCTGACTTGAATATAGGGCGAAACAAGGTTTATCATTGTCACGGTTCGTGTTTTCAACTTTTCACGCGAACCGAGGTTCACCCCCACCTCCCTCCTGCTTTCGGGGGAAGTGCGGTAGCCCCTCCCTCGCTTACGTGTGTACTGTTTATACACACACACAATTGAAGTATTATTTAAAAATTTATATAAACTTTCCACGCATGAAAAGTTCACGCATACACTTTTTACGCGAACCGAGATTCACCCCCACTTTCCCCTGCTTTCGGGGGAAGTGCGGTAGCCCCTCCCTCGCTTACGTGTGTACTGTTTATATACACACAATTGAAATATTATTTAAAAATTCATATTATTTATTTTTAACTTTAACACTGTATATCTGGAAAACCAGAGCAGTTAGCCCTATAAGACGTATATAATTTTTTGTTCAGCATTAAAAGTACTACCAGAAACCATCGTCAAATTAAGGCGCCAGAGTTATTGGAATCTTGCCGGATATAAATTACTCGAATGTCTCGTTACTGTCCTTTATTTTTATAAATTTCTTTTTGCTGTTATATTTCTTTCATTCTTAGAACATTATGTTTTTTTAATCGTATAAAAGAGATAGTTAACCTATTTTTTCTGAAATAAATACATTACGTAGCATTTTTAGATGCTTGTATAGGTATTGAGATAAATTAAAATTAAAATTTGTGTGTGTGTGTGTGTGTGTGTGTGTGTGTGCGTATGTGTGTGGGTGGGTGGGTGGGTGTGTGTAGATGTGTGTGTGTGCTATGTAAATTTATTTTTTTAGGCCTTGAATCCTTATCTATCGCGTGTGTTTTTCTATACCTACAGCAAAAATGTTATCTAATCCAAATAGTTAATATTTAACCTTGTATGACAGAAATACTATTTGACTGCACTAATGCAGAAAATACATGTTTACTTTTACAATACCTTTGATAAAAGAAAACTACACTATTTAACTGCATTAACACATAATGCAATAATACATAAAATACATGTTTGCTTTCAAAATATCCTGTTACACCTTTTATACCTGACATAATTTTTGATCATCGGTGCAAAGGAAAATGTTCGAATCTTAGGCGCATTTCAACAAAATCACGAATTTGTTTTCAGAATATGCCAATGCACAAGAAATATGTCCCCAAGAGAACTGTGTTGTACCTGACAAGTGCGAGGAATTGGTAAAAAGTGATACTTCATGCCAGCAACAGGGTACATTGTGCTGCAGCGTAGGTAAGTTCGCATTTTATAGAATATTACACCACATCGCTATATTTACAAAATTAAAATATGATTATAAAAAGAAACAGAGGTCATATCATAGAGACTTCTGCACATCGATCAAATTGATAAATCAAAGTATCGTGTATTTTTTATATTTATATATATAAAAACCAATATCTTTTATATTTATATTTTATATTATATTAATTAACGTACAATTATTGTCAATCCTCTCGCATAAATAAACGCAATAAATATATTAGTTAATTAATAAATATTTTCGCGACATATGATATATAGGTCAGCAGATCAGCATACTTTCATGGAATTCACTTTATAAATTTCGAAAACGTCTGACAAATTAATTTATATAACACTTTCACGCGTCGAAATGTATAACACCGTATGCGCGATTTCTCATTTCTACTTGATTTCTATCAAATGATATCTTTTATCATATAAACACAGATTCATATCTCGAAAAATTATTTTTTAAGAACTCTTGTGACATTCATTAATTTCTAGCAATATCTTGATTTTTAGAACAAACGACTAAATTAAAGAACATTAAAGTTTCTTCCTGTTATGTAGCAATAAAGCCTATGAAAAAGTCATTCCTTTGACTTGTTACGGAAAGAGCGTTTCTTCTTTATCATTAATCAATAAATTTTTTTAAATTAAAAATTCTTTACCATTACAGTTAAATCGGAATTCAGAACTCATTGCCGTCACCATGGTGGAATCTGCACGAACTCGTGTTCTCCGACCCTACAGCACGAAACGGATGACTGTACAGACGGTCAAGTCTGTTGCGTTTTGGTTTAGATATAACTAATAGATAAATAACTAAAACATTAATAATTACCCAATGTATAATCTCACCCTAGTTGCAACTATTAAGTCCTAATTTAATTATAACACAACAAAATGTCAAAAGAATAGTTTAGCGTTTAGCATTTTTAATTTTCTAATACGTCTAATATCGATTTCAAAATAATATCTGTCTTATATGTCCCAATACAACACTACAATATATTAAATGTAGTTTAAATAAAAATTTCTTATAAGTAATAAATTGTCACAATTATTTTGATCCAGCTAGATCTGTATTTCCCTCGATAATATCATGATTATCAATATATCAACAGCAGCATATAATCAATCAGGAATTAAACTCTATCGCATGAAAACTCATCCAAAAACTGTACATAATGTTAAATTATAGATTAAAACAAGCTATGTCGGGAGACAGTATTCATGAAATAATATCTGCATTTTTCGTCATCTTCTCTTATACAATTATTTTTTAATAAATTGCCAAATCTCAAATTAAGCTTTTCATCGATAGTGTTATTAGTAGAAAAACTATATAAAAGCCATTTTCGGTAGAATATTCCTCTTGCATTCCTCGAACAATCATAATTTGAAAGGTAAGTCAGGAAGGGAAAAGGGCAAGAAAACAAAGAAAAGGAGAGAAGGTAAGCGGGATATACCGCGAAGTTTTATCCGGAAAGAAAAGTTGCCCGGAGCGGAGACGAGCTGAGACGGTTGACAAAAGGTCGGTCAAGGAACAACATGTACAAGAGAGGCGGCCAAAAGAAGGACAGAAACAAGTGAGTAAGGGGAGTAAGAGAAAAAAAAAGAAGAAAGAAGAAGGTGTACGAGGGGAAGGGTATGCTTCGCCATGGGCTATCCAGCCAGAACGTAGGATAATACGTATAGATATATATATATATATATATATATATATATATATATATATATCTGCACACACAAAACGGTATTGGTTAGCCCTCGACGATCAAGAATCATGTAGGAAAGAAAAAGAGAAGAGGCAACATAAAATAGGTATACAAAAGTAATATGTTCGCCTCATTTTATTTGCGAATATATAATTGACATTTTTATATTTTTTAAATTTTCTCTTTCGCAGTAATTATTTTTAAAAATAATAAATCAGAAGGAACGAAGATGAGTTGTAAAAGTAAGAGACGAGAATTTTTAATTTGACGAATTATACGTAATCGTACGGATATATAAAAATATATATATATATATATTAATTGACCAAATCTCTAAAAATGTAACCGTACAAACTTTCAGCGCAAAGATGAAAATAAAAATAACTTTGCGCATTCCGTCCTTTCGATAAAGCTCATTCTATAACGTACTAGAGAGTATGTGGCAAATGAGAAAGCAGGTATAAAACTGAAGTAGATAACACGATAATTACGACGATGAGGGAGACAAGTTGGAAAATGAAATACGTTAAAAGGTCGCGAGAGAGTCGTTGACATTTCCATCGAACCGCAATATCGCCATACTCAATTTTGTTTAAATTTCTCCTTCTATTTCTGTTATAACGAGCGCAATTGAAAAATATGCGAAGGGAGAAAAAGAAAAAGCACAAGAGTTGTGTCGCCGCGGGCGTTACGGGCAGATGCCAATATGACGCGGTACACGCACGTACAAGCGCAAGAGAGCCGTTTCGGCTGGCCCGGGGGTAAAAGCGCATAATATTACGCAGCGGAACAAGAAGAAGCTCATCCCTTCCACGACTCGCCCGCCCGCAGCATCAGCGGCGAAGGACACCCTCAGGGTTACTCGGAGCCGAAGATACGAGAAGCACCAGCAACTTCAACGAGACTGCGATAACGAAACGGCGATAACATATTATCTCTGCCGCGCGTGTGCGCGCACACATACACATATACACACATACATACTTACACATACGAGTACTTTAAGGAGCGAAACGGAAAGTACCGGTGAAGAACTTTGAAAGTAAATTTCGCAAAGCGCACGGTAACGCCCGCGGTGGTAGATTATCCTAATCTCATTATTTTTCTTGCGATAAATGATGCCATCAAGCAAGTAGAATGCGAAGTTCAAGAAGAAGGGGGAGGAGGAGGAGGAGGAGGAGAAGGTGGTGGCGCAGCCCCGCCGCGAGCGATGCAGGCAAATGCCGGCGATGTGATGGTACCCACGTACCTCCTGCCTTGCCTTGTCTTGCCTGCATGCATGCACGTGCATGCATGCCCCCCTACATGTACATATTAAAATATGTATATACGTATACGCGAGTCGTTTCGGTTGGCCCGCGGGTGAAGGCGCGTGTGAAGGCGCGGGATCGCGCGACGTGGGAGAAGAAGAAAGACGCCCGTCTTCCCCTTTCTTCTTTTCGCGTTCATCCCTATCGTTGTGCGCGAGGAGATGCCCCCGGGGGTAGACGCGCGGTACTCTACACCCCACTACAGTGAAGTGGTACGGTAGTGGTACGGTCGTTCCGCTGCGGGCGCGGAAACGAGAGGAGATAGCGGCGAGCTTCGTCCTCTCCACCTTCGTGTCCCAGTGAGAGAGGTGGTCGAAGGGCGAGTCAGGGGCGGGGAAGGGAGGGGAAAGAGAGAAAGAGAGGGATCTATGTTGCCCCGAAGATATCCAGCGAGACAATGCGCTCCATGATGCCTCGGGCGACTCCGAGGCAGACCGTAGTTCTCCCTCGTTTTCTGCTCCCTCTTTCCGTCCTGGCCTCTGGCGATTCTTCGCCCTTCCGTCTCGCTCGTTCTTTCCCTCTCCTTCTTCTCTTTCTCGTTTTCTTCTCTCGGGCAGCTTCTCTCTCTTTCTCGCCCGCTCCGAGGCCCTTTCCGTTCACTAGTTACATGAACTTTTACTGATATTGAAATTATTCTATAAAATATACTGGATGTCTATATAGGTGTAACACCCGCCGTGAGTAAATAGAGAGGATTAATCTGAATAGAGAAGTCCTATATTGTTTCGTGATTTTCGCAATAAATAATGAGAAATTAATTAATAACGATCTGCGAATCAGCGTGCGTCTGCGCGATTCGGAAGAGACATCCTAGCGTTTACGGTTGCTAACCATGCGGCGAGGTATTAAGAGGAGTGCTCTGTAAACAACAACGGCTATGTACGAATGACGTGTAACGCTAAAAATCTTCGCGCGCGTAGCAACTGTAAACGTTATGACTGTCTCTTCCCGTCGAATAGCGCGAACGCACGCTAATTCGCGATCTTTATTAATTAATTTCTCATTATTGTTTCTTATTTATTGTCATATTTTCAAGAAGGTATAAAACTTTTCTATTTAGCTTAATCAGCTCTACCTACTCATGATAGGTATTACACCTATTATCAGACCCTGCATGTATACACAGAGATGCATGTAATTCCTAGAAAATTAAATTCTCTTTTAAAACGATTATGTTAGGAATAGAGAAAACAAATGTCGGTTAACGTTTGACATATAATTAGAACAATTGATTTATAAATCTACCAGATATTTATTTTAATTTGCATGCAAGATCGTGAAGACACGAATACAAGCACTATTTACCCTATAAAATCTTTCAAGATGCCTGCCTATTAACGACATGGCCGTTTCATTTCATCATCTAAATACGGCTGGATTATTACGCGTCGTTTTCGGTGGCCTTATTCGGTCCTCACTTTGTTTCTCTCGGCATTCCCGGCACGTCATTACTTCTCTCTGAATCTCCGCGGCTGTCTCCGTCATGTTTCCACGACGTAAAATTTCTAGAATGTCACCCCAATTGCAATAAAGCGTCCTTCTTTGCCGCCGGCCCGCCCCGCTCTTGCCTCCCTAACATAGCCTCCTCCTCCTTCATCTCCCTCTGCGACGCTCTCTCCTAGTGCACGCTCGCTTGGAGGGAGTAACGATGCCCCGGAGCGGGCCTCCGCGGCGCGGCACCGTGGTAACGATAAGCAACGAAATGAAATATTAATGAAGTACCTGAGCGCACGTCCATTTTTCGCGGGCGTCTCACCACCAACGCCCCGGGTGCCGAAGAAAAAGTCGGCCGCCTCATCGGAAGTAAAAGAATCATCGCTAGAGAATAGAAGAGGAACAGTAGAAACGCTACGTCATCCTCGTAACATCTAGATTGCAATATTTTTTTTCGATTTAACAATACCACAGCTTATCGAGGAAATCTTGATTGCTTTAATTTTCTAGAATCTTATCTCTGTAAAAGAACGGGTAAACAGGGTATAGGATTTTTATATTATTATTAATTTCTTTTTTTTTGTACATTTAACATTTTTTCATTGTCACATTTTTGCCATTAAAATTATTTAAAAAACTTCCAAAAATGAAAGATGATCGAAATGTTGTGTTATGTTTTAATTTAAATTATGTTGAGGAAAGGAAGGAACGTAACGAGAGACAGTAATAAAGAAAAATACACTTTATTACAATTGGGTTATTATAAAAATTTTATATTTTTTGGAAATGGACCAAATTCAACCTCGAGGATTTAAAGAAAAATTAGGCATAGATATCACTAATCTTTGCATCTTCTACTAATCTATCGATTAAAACTTCTTATATCATTATCAAACTTATTTATGCATTTATGGACTCACATAACGAGAATGTTATGAATGCGCCTAGTTACGACAGTCTCTTCAAGCCCCGTCTCTTGCGAGGGTAAAACGATCACATCCCGATTATAACTGGCCGGTAATAACGCACTGCCTGCGTTCAGCCCTTCAGCGGAATTCGAGCGCCACATTTTCGCGAAACAATGTATGGAAAATAACCCATTGCGCACCTTTGCCGCCGCCGCCGCCGCCGCCGCCCCGGCGGTGCATGTCAGCGTTGGTTGCATTGCGATGAATACGAAAATACCCGGGGCAACTCCCTAATTGCAGTGAGAGGCAAACGAACGGAGGGAAAGAGAAACGAGAATAAAACAAGGGGAAGAGAAATAAAGAGAGAGATAAAGAAGAGAGGGGAGAGAGAGAGAAAGGTAGAGAAAGTTACAAAGAGAAACTATGATAGAAACGGGTGAGGAGTGGAGGAAAAGTGATCTATTCATCTTTTTCAGCAATACTTCCAGCGCTCTCCTTCTCACTCTTTCTCACCTTCGACGTTCCGTTGCTTCGTATATCTCCGCGGTGTACCATGTATGTACTCACCTTCGTTCCATCTCTTCTCCCGTTTCCCCTCCTCTCTCCCTCGACCCCCCTCTCTCTCTCTTTCTCTTTTTCTTTCTCCTTCGCCCGA